CTCTATGCTATGGTCATCCCAGTGTCATCTTTTATAATATCCAGCCAAATACCAGGGTGATCCCTTCTCCTTTTTCTACTGATCACTCTCTGCATGATTGATTTTCTGAGTGAATCAGCTTACATGACACAACCATAGAATAATAGTCTTTGTTTGGCGATCTTGAACATTATCATTAAGTTAATTATTACTGTAGAACAGCATATTGTCAAACATGTTTTAAACTAAGTTACAAAAGGAGAAATTTAGATAGTGAAAAAAATTTAAATGGCAGTATTCATTTAAAACTTCTCTTGACTTCACAATCATTTTCTCCCTGGCTAGAGAATTCTAGTTCAAATCTACACATATTAAAGCTGTCAAATTTTGAGATGCTTTAATATCATCTAAAGCACCCAATTTACTGTTGATATTGGAATGTATTTTGGTGGCTTCTATGTTTATAGTTTGGTTGTGTATGTATGTGTATCTATGCACACATACACACAATTAAAAAGCATTGCTAAGATCAATGCTGTTATTTGCAAGAACTCTTTAATTGCTAAGTTCTTAAATACTAGTAAGTATATTTTTATGACAAAATCAAACTATTCAAAAGTTTATTTTTCTTGCTTAGTGGGTACCATAGAGAAAGTTTTAAGGATTGTCAAGTTCATTGTGGTTGATGGTTAAGTTCATTGTGTTGTAAATGGTGAGTAGATTCTTATTCTTGTGATATGGGCTTGTCCTGCTATTGCACTTCAGGAACAGCCTCATGTAAAGCATGTTGGAGTAATCTAAATGACCAGCTACAAAGACATGAATTACTATGAGCATCACCTCTCAGTCCAAGAATGGCACAATTGGCACACCAGTCAAAGGTGCACAAAGGATCTCCTAGTAATGGCTGCCACCTGCTCTTTCCTGCTCTTTCAGCAGGTGCAGCGAGTTCAGGAGGATCCAACGATTGCACACTGGGTCTTTTTGGGGTAGCGCAACCCCATCCAGAATCAAAGATAAAAGATCCAAATATCCGCAGCCACTCACTCTTTCTTGGTAGGGTTAAGTCAGAGTCCCAAAGGTGCTTATTCAAAAAGCAACTGGACTTTCTTGGTTTTTCCTTGACAAGGTTCTACTTCTCATCCAAGGAAGAAAGTCCAGTTGCCTTTTGAAAAAGCAGCTTTGGGATAACCATGACCTGGATAATTGAGAATCTCTACAGACATTGAGTCTGAGCCTGTTGGACCATCCGGTCCCAACAGCTTCCAGACACTGGGATAGGATGTCCACAGCATCACTTAAAGGGCCTGGGGTAGCGATATAAAGCTGGGTGTCATCTGCGTATTGGTGGTGGAACTTCGTGAGTTAAAGTCCTTTTTTTTTTTTTTGGCAGCAAGACAACTGGAAGGAACAGATGTACCAGTGTCAATGATTGAAAGAAGGAGTGGAAGAAGCCATTAAAAAAACATGCCAAAAATGAAGGGTGGATAAGGACATGGCATATGGTTTTAGATTACAGGAAAGCAGATTTTTCTTCTTATTTATTCAGTTTGCTTGGTCACTCATTCATCGCGAGTGTTAGGAGCATCTTCCCAATGGTATTCTGCTCTGTGTCAAACCAAGTACTTGTTTCATGATTCTTTCCCTGGAGATTGTGTGAGTGGGGAAGAATGGACTTCAGTTTATTCCTAAGACTGAGTAGCTATTAATTTTAGGATTTGCTGACCTTTAACCTTCAGTTATGAATGGGGTTAGCACTCCTCCTAGCAATTTGGGGGTCTTCTTGAATTCTCAGCTCCTGCTCTGTTGACAAAAAGTGACACTACAATATATTATTCAATTTTAAACCATTTTGTTTTATTTCACACGGTAGACATAAATAATAATCCATCCCATTCAGTACAAAAAGCATAGCAGATCTGAATCAGCAGATGTATCCATTGTTTAAGGCACTGAGAGAAGGAAATACAGAAACTATAGAAGACAGTGACTCCTTTAATTCAAACACTTCCATTAAAGCCATCTTGAGTAGGACCACTGAGTACACTTTAAAAAAAAATCCAGGCTACATTCATAGTAAGTGTATACTGCTTTATTGATTTTGGTTAATTAATTAATTTTCCAAATTGGCCAATGGTCTAAGAATGACAGTGCTTTGGACCACAATGCTTTGTGCTATTAAACCCCCCCAAAAAAACTACAATACCGCTTTAAGAATTTTTTTCTGGTTACAATTTAGCAAGGAAGGTTGAATTTATATCTTTAACTGCTTTTGATGGAAGAAATTTTATGGTATGAAAAGTTAGGATAGGATAGTGTAGTTTTTAGTGTAGATAGTATAGATAGTTTTTTTTAAATTAAGGCTACAATAAATTTTGCTTGTATGGTTTTTTTTAAAAGAAAGGAAGTCTGAGATGATAGTAGATTAAATGTTTCACAAAATGATCCTAATTTACTTTTTGATTCACCGCATTCAGTTTGTTTGTTCCATTACTATTTCAATGCTGT